TGGCATGAGCCCTTTAACATGTTTCACCTTATGGTGATATAATTGTAAAATGCTAGGTCGATGCATACTCATCTCCTACAAGTAGCTTTATGTTACTCACCCACGTAATGGGGACATTTTTCAGGTACTGGGATCAAGATTCAGGATTCACATCATACTTATATGATTTGTAGACTTGAAGTTCTCATTTATTGTAAATGTTGGTTTGAAATGCCATTTATAGCTTTATATGTCAAAATGTGTAAATTTGATTCTATTTTTGTAATGTGTACATAAGTACACTCTTTACAAGATATTTGACATGTATGAGATGAGGCCATAGGCCAATGACATCTAATTTGTATCCTATGTAACTTTTAACTTCATGAAATATTATGAAAATATTTAAAAATGCCGAGTCATTGCTTCATTATGCTTGCATCGGGTGTGCGAATTCCATTTTTATTCTTTCATAGGGTCTTATAAATCATGTTTGAAGTGTGGCCAAGGGCGAAACGATAATTTGAAATCATTTGTTAATTTTGGTTTTCAAATTTCCTTTTTCTTGTTCATTTTTGCCTTTTTGCCCGTTGGGGGGTCGGATTTTGCATCGATGGTATTTTTAAGGCATGGACCATTGTAGCACGTCCTAATAGGTAAGTTACGTTTGCGTGCATGGTTGCTTCCGGGCAAACCTTCTTCTTTGATGAAATGAGCCTCTTATGGACTCATTTTGAAACTTTGTTGCATAATCTGATCTAGGGGCTTTCTAGACTTTCACATCAGTTTTATTTTCTTCTTTTGACATGGTCGCTTAGAAAATGTGATTTTAGGGGAGGTTTCTTTTTCGTGTTTTTTCCAGAAAATGTCGTCTTGATACTGGAAATCCATTGCAAAGTTCAGCTTCCAGTTTTACATTTAGCAGCTCTATGACCCTCATGACTAGATTTCCTGGAGGGGCATTTTGGGCATTCAACATTGAGTTTTTTTTGTGTTCTCTTGTAAGTCACGTAGAAAACTCGATTTCGGGAGAGGTTTCTTTTTTATGTTTTTCCAGAAAAATTCATTTGATAGCCCGTTTTTGCTCTCAGTTGTAGACTGATCCTGAAGAAATTTCATGTAGCAGCTTTTTGAGTCCTTCTTGACCTAGGCTAATCTTGGGGTATTTTAGGGATCTTACAGCGTGTTTTTCTCCATTCCTTCCGCAATGCTGATAAAAAACGTGATTTTAAGGAGGGTTTCTTATTCGTGTTTTTCCAGAAAAACTCGTTTAAGGGTTCGTTTTTAGCCTCAGTTCCGAGAAAAAAATCAAATGTTGTTTGCTGTAAAAACACTATTCCTTCCCAGATTTCTTACCCAGAAAATAAGTTGATTTTTTTTAAACTTTGAGGCTTCATATCTTCATCATCCCGGCTCCAAATCAAGTAATTTTTGAGTCTAAGTTTATTAGTTATTACTAGTCTATATAACGGTATGCACGGTTGCATCAAATTATATCAGAAAAGACCATTTTATCCCTTGTAAACTACCCTTGCCGCATTGATTTTAAATCCAAAAGTTGGTTTTTTTGAAACTTTGAGGCTTCATATCTTCATCATCCCGACTCCAAATCACGTAATTTTTGAGTCTAAGTTGATTAGTTTTTGCTGGTCTATATAACGATATGCACGGTTACATCAAATTATATCTGAAAAGACCATTTTACCCCTTATAAAATACCCTTGCCGCATTGATTTTAAACCCAAAAGTTGGTTTTTTTAAAACTTTGACGTTTCATATCTTCTTCATCTGGACTCCGATGATTTTTAAGTCTAGATTCATTAATTTTTCCTTGTCTATCTAATGGTATGATCTGTTGCATCTAGTTTTGTCTAAAAAGACCATTTTACCCCTTGTAAATTACCCTTGCCGCACTAATTTTTAACCCAGAAAGTTTAATTTTTATAAAACTTTGGAGTTTCATATCTTCTTCATCCAGACTCCGAATCAAGTGATTCTTGGGTCTAATTTGATTAATTTTTTGTTGTCTTTCTAGTGGTGTGCTCGGTAGCACCCGATTTTATATTTTCAGAAATGACCATTTTGCCCTTAGGGGCATGTTCAGTCTTTTTCTTATCATTCGTTTCCGCATCAATTCTCATTGAGTTCCACGATCTCATGGAAGGTCACTTTGACTTCTTAGAGTCTTGTTTTCTATTTTCGCTTCCGCATTCGAATCCGTTAATCTGGTCAATCTTCGGTTCATCATAAGAGGCACTGGCTTGAAAAACCAGGGTCGCCACATCTATGGATGATACTCTGGAGTCGTAACATCCCAACATAATCCTACTTAGTATCCCAAGCAATACGTACTGTATTTGTTATACGTAAAATCCAAACAAATTGGGAAGAGTAATCAGATAAAATGAATAAATAAACAGATCCAAAATCGAGATTTAGATGAAGAAAGCTTAGATCTATGGATGATACTCTTAAGTTTTTGTATAATACTCCAGTGAAATTACATGGGTTGTTGTTGGGAAGCCAGTTTTGGAGTGTGTTTGCTGTAAGTCCTTGGAGATTCTATTAATGGAAGCTGATGAAGCTTTTAGATAGAGAAAGGAAGACGACGTATATATATATATACATATGGAATACAATATTTAAAGCTTATATATATAAAATATAAATATATATAAAATATACAACTTAAAAGATGGGTGGTGAAAAAATAGTTACCCAATATTTTTAATTGATGTGGCACATTCTCAGCCACTTATTCCAAAAAGGAGAAAATGGGGCACTATGAGTCTGGAGGTGATCCTTCACCGCAAATCATTTCGAATTTGTCAAGACTTTCCTTCCTTAATTATAGCAACCCCTTTACAAATTTGGCAGCCATATTTCCAAAATTATAATAATCATACGGGTCACAATTTTATTTCTTCGCATTGTCTCCAAAGTGACCTTCTTTTGGCATCATGTCAAGACCACTTGTTATTTAATTTGTCCACGCCATCACTAAAATGACTGCCAAATTTTGGTGCCAATAATTATACACTTTATATGCATATCATAAGGCAGTAGAGCGCACACAGTGAAGGCAGCAAACAATTAATCCGAGACTTAGAGCGTTTTGATAGGGTGAAGAGAAGACAAGATTGAGGCGGCATATGAAAAAAATAAAAAATAAAAAAAATAAATTAATGACCCCCATTAATGCAATCTAGTTGAGGACCACTCTCTCACATTAAAGAAGAAAAATAATTTCCATGTGATTTAAAGGGTCGTTCTCACTCTATAAGAAACAAAATCTTAGTAACTACTACTAGGCTAGCTGAAATGGCTATATATGGTGATATTTGTCTTGTATCATTGGAATACTGTAATATGAATTACACATGGAAAATCACTAATTTTCTAAGAACATATGAACTTAATTGCCATCGAATTAGTCCAACCAAAGAAAGCTCGAGTTCCATTTAAAATTTATCTTTTATCATTTATCAGTGTAGTAAAAGTGCCAAAACATGTAAAAACATTATATTGGTATATCGATTTTTGGTTACTATTTGTGAAATATTTTAGCACTATGCATCACAAAACATTTTTTACCAAACATAGTTTTTTTCAACGTTTATTACAATAGTACCCGACAAAAATAAAAACACAAAAAACAAAATGCATATCAAACAGCCCCTTAATTGCTATCGAATTATTCCAATCAGAAAAGCTCAAGATCCATTTAATGAGCAATAAAATAATAAAGCTAGTAATATTTATAGCATGATACGTACTTTTTTGAGAAAAATAAAAAATAAAAGAGACTAGAAAAGTATGTTTGATTTAATTCTCGCAGTGAAAATTATTTTGTATGTTCCTCATTTTTCAGTTGTATTAAGAATAAGAACAACAAAAATATATTGTGAGGGGTTGTCACCAGTAATTAAAACTTACAATGATGCAAGCTGAGTAAAATTATGTTTTGAGGATAGAAAATGTTCTTAAAGATGCTCTAAAGTTTTACTTCTCCACTTTCACATCAATTGATTCTGCTAGCCTTTCTTAACTAGTACTTATAGCAGAAGGAAACAATTTACACACGTCATAATATAAAATTCATCTCCAAGTTCTATGAAAATTATGTTCCCTTCTTTAATGCATTCCCTTCCACTAACACTGGGATTTAAATTTATAGTAGTTGCTGCATCAAAGTATGCTTCATCTCCAAGTTCTATTGATTTTTTGGGCTCTTGGGTCCCTAGGCCCTCTTGGGTCCTTCAGCCCTCTTTCTTAGCTTCGGCCCTTGTATAACTTCCGATATACATTCCCTCTTGAACGCTTTCTAATATATTTTTACTTATCAAAAAATTAAAAATTAAAAAATAAAAAGTATGCTTTGTAATCACCATCACCAAAATACCTTCCTGAGAAATTACTTCAACAAACTCATCTTCAAAGAGCCTTTACAGGCAAAAGCCTACTCCAGTCATCCACATTGAATATTAATCATACTGAATTCTGACTGCTTTGTACTCAAAATTTTAAAGCTCTGTAAACCCTAATGTAGTAAAAAGTACAGAAACCGACATCAGGTCCATTCCTTGAGCAGAATATGATATTCAATATCACTTTTCCAAATACTCATTAGAGTGTATGTTGAAGGAAGTTTTACCGGCCAGCAGATAATCAGTGACAACAAAGGCAGAAGAATTTGCACCTTTTTCTTGATGGCATCAGAATAACTTCATTTGTTCATATCCACTCAGCTTCTTGTAGTTGCAGACCTGCCCTCACATCACCTTAACTATCAGAACTTTAAAACATGAACACCGATGGAAACAGATTTTTTCAGTTTGTGAGAGTGTGAGATTGGACCTGTTTGAATCCCAGTGACAAATGAACACCGATAAATGCTAATAACACAAATTTTTTACTAGAAAGGATAATGCAGAAGATACTTGGACAGAAGAACTCTCCATTGCTGTCAAACAAGGTACAATATCTTTTGTCCCAAACAAGGTAAAGGATGATGCAGAAGATACTTGGACAGAAGAACTCTCCATTGCTGTCAAACAAGGTACAATATCCTTTGTCCCAAACAAGGTACAGTATGTTCTTCTTCTAAATACAACATGCAAGTCCTCACAGTAAACACAAGTCATAATTATAAATAAGAAGCTCAAGTGTTCTAAATGAAAGTTTTTCTAGTCCTCAATGTGGTACACTCAAAAGGGTCATGGTCACTACTAAGAAGCTGCTATGTTTAAAATGATGGATCTCTACCAAGCAAATAGAATGAGTTAACATACTTCTTCATCCCTAGCAGTTGCCAATAGGAAGTTAAAAATGCGATCAATTTTCAAATTTGACCAATACTGGGGTAACCTAATCCAATATCAGTACACCAGTTGGAATTATAGTACACAAAACCGGTTTCGCTACTCAGCAAGAAGCTCCAGTTCCACATCCATGGATTATGCTAGCTCTTCTTAACTAGTTCTTGTAGCAGAACGAAACAAATTGCAACTCAAACTGATCTAGCTCCACTATTCATCTCCAAGTTTTAGAACAAACAGAAAATAACTATTCCCGCCATCTTTAAATCATTCCCTTACCAACACAAAGGCATGCTTTCTAATCTCCATCACTAATAGCAGGAAACCATCCCCAAAGGAATTCCTTCAACAAAGTCATCTTCAAAGAGCCTTTACAGTCCAAAGGAACACAATTGTTGAGAAAACAGGAAAGTCATCTTCAAAGAGCCTTTACTCCAGTTTCTGCACTGAAAAATGATCACACCAATTTTGAGTTCTCTGTACATCCTAATGTTGTCAAAAAGAACAAAAACCAACATCAGATCCATTCCTTGAGCAGAATATGAGATTTAATATAACTTTTCTAGGATAGATAACCATCAAATTGAACCCTCCATGTTAAGTGATATATGTAGCAAACAGGATCCATATTTTGATAAACTTATAACAAGTCCAAGACAGTTATCTAAAATTGAGCTTCCACATATGCATTAGAGTGCATGTGGAGTGGCCAGCAGATAATGAGTGACAAGAAAGCTAGAATTGACACCTTTTCTTTAAGATATCTAAGTAACTTCATCATTCATATGCAATATCTTCTTGGAGATGCAGATCCGACTTCATATCACCTTAACTATCAGAACTTTAAAACATAAACGCATATGAAAAAAGGATTTTCCTTTTGTGAGAGTGTGAGATTGAACCTGCTTGAATCCCAATAACAAATGAACATTGATAAATGGTAATAACTCAATTTTTTACCAGAAAGAATAATGTAGAACAAGGTACATTATCTTTTGTCACTAATAAGGTACAATATGTTTTTCTTCTAAATCCATCATGTAAGTCCACACTTTGGTAAACTCAAGTTATAATTACAAACAAGAAGCTTAACTGTTCTTAATGAAAGTCTTTCTACCAAGCAAGTAGAATGGTTCTCTCTAAATGATAGCCAAGTTACTGTGGTTTCTCTTGAAGGAATTGTTCTGAATTATGGTTTCACGATCAACCATTTTAAATGAATTGCTTTGAACCCACATTTAAGTGATGGTTACTACTAAGAAGCTTCTATGTTTAAAATGATGGTTCTCTCTACCAAACAAATAGAATGAGTTGCAAAATATTCTCCCAAAAGACAGTAAGGAAAGGTGTCAAACCAATTAAAGAACTCATGTGAGTGCTTTATGTTTCGCTGTATGTGAGTGCTTCGGCTCCAGCAACAATCTCCAATATTTCACCAGTGATTTTAGCCTGTCGCTCACGATTGTAAGCCATTGAAAGGGTCTTCTTCAACTCCGTTGCATTATCCGTTGCATTACTCATGGCTCCCATCCTCGATGCAAGCTCACTTGCCACCGACTCCTGCAATGCCCTCAAAATCTGACTATTCAAATACAGGGGCATCAATGCATCAACAATTTGAATTGGGTCTTGCTCAAATTGTAAATTAGGCAAGTACTCCCCTGTCTTCGTCCTCACAGTATCTCTTTCCACAGTCAATTTCCCTTCCTTAGTTGTCAACCTAAAGAACTCATCTTCACTTGCATCAACACAATTCCCATTCACATCACAGACCTCTCCCTTGGATGACAAGGGAAGCAACGTCTGAATCACCGGATTGGACTTGACCAATGACACAAACTTAGTGTACAAAAGCTCAACCTTATCAACCTCTTCACTCACATACAACGAAAACACACTGTCTGCTATAGTCTGAGCTTCTTTTGCTGTGGGAAAGCTCTCTCCCTCCACAAATCTATCAACATGAACATTAGGCCTTCTACGAAAATACGAATTACCCTTTTTTCCAACACTGATTACAGTGTAATCCAAGCCAAGATTCCTCAATTCCGCGATCCGGGTCTCGGTCTTTTTGAGAATTGAATTGTTGAAACCGCCGCAGAGACCTCGTTCGCCGGTGATAACAACAAGGGCAACTTTCTGAACAGGCCTGATGCTCAACAGAGGTGCATCTACGTCTTCTAATTGGATCTGTTCATTGATGTGGTACAAGACTTCAACTAGGGTTTCAGAAAAGGGTCGGCCATTGATGACTGCTTCTTGAGCTCGCCGAACCTTCGCGGCCGCGACGAGCTTCATTGCTTCGGTGATTTTCTGGGTGTTTTTCACTGTCTCCATACGGTGTCGTAGTTCGCGAAGACCACAGTGAATTGAAGGAACTGTGGAAGATCTAGACGAACCATTTGCGAAGAGAGGATAGTGAACTGTGCAAAATGGGTGGAGCCGATATTGAAAAGAGAGTGAAGATGTGTCAAGAATAGAAGTTTTCAACGACATCCAAATTGAAAAATTGGAGCAGGACATGGTTTTGATCGGTTTTTTCTAGGGTTTTGTAGAAATGAAGAAAATGTAGTTTAGACAGACGATTTTAAGCTCAACAAATTAAATTGACCGTTGTGTTTTCTTTACGGGGCTTAGGTTGTGAATTCAGCCCCAACCCAATCCAACCGGAGTATTAAAATAACCATCGAGCCAGTCTTTAACTAGAGTTGGGTACGGTTAGGACCCAACCGATTTGCACAAGATGATACAATCATGTACAAATATTAAAACATATGCTAATATTCATTTACTAATTGTCGTCTTTAACATTTATGACTCACAATAATATAAATCATAAATACTAAAGACGACATTTAATTCCGGACAAGAGATTTCAATGGATGACACCAATCCGTTAAATTTTTTTATTCTTTATATTTTGAGGGCTAGTTTGGTATGGTGGAATAAATTAGAATGGAATGGAAATGGATGTGGGAATGGAAATGGATGTGGGAATGATAATTTTCATTCTCTTTTTTGGTTGCAAATATGGAATGGAATGTAAAAAAATAAAATGATAATTTTCATTTAGTTGTTTGATTGAAATAAAAATAAAAATGGAATGAATTTATATTGCGTTTACCTTTATCATGTTTTTTCCAAATTACTTTTATCATTAACAAAAAAAAAAATTTAACTAAAAAATTAACATCAAATTTTTTCCAATTCAGTGGTTAGAAAGGTACGTAAGAATGAAATTGGGGGCAATAGATAGAGAGAGAAAGTAGAGAGAAGGAAGAAACTAACGTATCCGATTTGATCGGCGGCGACGAACAGCGGTGATCCAAGCTCCGTTACAAACTTCAGTGCTTTTGAAAAGATCTGATTTAGAAAGAATAGTGATCTGATTTGGAAAGAATGATGATCCAATTTACAAACTTCAGTGCGATCGAAAAAGGGTGAGGACGGATCCGATTTGGAAAGAATGGTTTCAGCAATTCTTTCACAAAATCAATGAGAGAATCACGAAAAAGCTTGCTTTTGGTTCCTGTTCACTATTTGCTTCACTCAGATCTACTTTTGATTTTTTATTGTGTCTTAGTCCATCACAGTTCAATATTATGTTTGTTAGACAATGGATTTGCTTGGGTTTGATAGAAGAGATGATGATGCCGGTAGTGGGTTTAATGGAGGAGATGATGACGCCGGCGGTGGGTTTGATGGAGGAGATGATGACGCCGGCGTGGGTTTATAATTTGTTAGGTTTTATTTTTTAATATTTTTTTAGTTTATATTTTTTTAAAGTAGGAATGGAATGGTTATTCCTTTTATGAAAAGGTAGAATGATTTTGATGGAATGATCATTCTCCAAGAATGTTAGAGAATGATAATTCCAAGTTTAAAATTGGACACCAAACACAAGAATGAAATAAAAATCATTCCATTCCATTTTTTTTGTATTCCATTCCATCACACAAAACTAGCCTGAGTTCATTGACCAAATTGAACTATCTTTGCCTTTACTAAACTCGTTTTCTCAACATGGTGTTGGATTAGGGTGATCTGGACATTTACTCGTTGATTGAATGGTTGGATACATTGGACATACATATAATTGATTATTGATCGAAAGTGTCGGTTTAAATTTGGTCTTGGTGATTGTGCACTAAGTGTGCATAATTGTGATTTGAGAGAGTGATAGTGGATTGGAGATGGAAATTTGAGTAAAATGCAAAAATAAAATAAAATAAAATAAAAAATTCCCTCAAGTATTACGTTTTTGTAAATAAGTCTCATAACTACAAATTTCTCAATGAAATATTAATTTATTGCAAATAAGAATAAGTCCATTACAAAAGATTACTTTATCCTTTCCTATTAAATTTTTTATTTCTTATTAAATTATTTTTATTATTTTTTCTCTTATCTAAATATTAATTATATCGAGAAGGCCTTGGTAGCTTAGTCATGGGCATCTCCCCGTTGGTGCTTGGGAACCATGTTGGAGCCTTCTCATCTACCCCCTCTCCCTCCCCATCCTTGCCAAGAAACAAAAAAAAAAAAAAAAAAAAAAAAAAACACTATATTAATTATATCATTTACCTTAATTTTATTATTAATATCAATTTATCATTAAAATATATATATATATATATATAACTATCATTTTTTTAAAATAATTAACTTATTATAAAGTTTAAAACTTTATTATTGGTCATGCTTGTTTTGTTGTTAATTTGCTAAGGGCGACAATATCTGCAGTTTACACCATAATGGTTTCTCACCTGTGACTTAAATCACGTGGGATCTACTTTATGCATTATCCATTTATGTGGAAGAGCTTTTTTTTTTTTAATTTATTTAATTTATTTTTTTTAGCCTGGCAAAGACAAACAAGACATAAGGAACCAAAAACAACCAAAAACAACTAAGACCCAACATCCGCCACAGCAAAAGGGACGACGAAATGAGGTAGAGAAGACAACATCTGATCCGACCCAAGCCCAGGCTGCGAAAGAGCTGCCAAAGTATGAGCCACCCGATTACCTTGGCGACACACATAAGTCAAAGTAGCATACGAAAACCGCCGCAAGTCCCGATTAATGTCAAAACATATAGAAGCAATTTCTGACAGACAAGTCACTCCATTCAACACCTCATCCACAACAACTTTGGCATCAGATTCAAACCATAAGCAAGAAAATCCCAACTCCAAAGCACAAAGGATAGCACGCTGACACACCAACGATTCCGCCTCCAGAGATGAAGAAGCAGAAAAAGGACAAAAAATAACCGTTTGAAGCACAAGCCCACGAAAATCACGAAAAACAGCGCCACCGCCCCCCTGCAAAGACTGCCGACAAAAAGAAGCATCAAAATTGAACTTAACAATTCCAGATGGAGGAGGACTCCACGAATCCACCGAAGTGTTGGCCGGCCCTGGCTGTAAGGAGGAACAGAGGAACCGAGCATCATGAAACTCTCAAAAACTGACGACAACCTTCTGCACCACAACCTCAGCCTCCATAGAATCCCCGCAAAGACCAATTGATTCCTTGCCTTCCAAATATCCCAAACACAAAAGGAAATCAAACTAAGGACAGGCTCAAACTCCGAGGAGAGCATAGCCCTATGCACCAGAAATCACCATCCAACCCGGAAAGAAGAAAAAAAAGAATCCGAAAAATCAAGATGCAGTGGAGATAACTTCCACACTTGAATGGAATGAGGGCAAGAAAAAATAAGATGCACAACAGACTCCTCCTGCAAACTATAGCAAGGACAAAGAGGCGACACATCACACCTACGATCCAATAGAGCAACACGAACCGGCAAAGTATGAAGACAACATCGCCACAGAAAGTGTTGCACCTTAGACAGAGTACGACACCGCCAAATAGAAGACCAAGAAAAATTATGAGAAGCAACCCCCGAAAAATTAGACATGGAAATGGCTATTTTAGAAGCAAATCGCACAAAAAACTTACCTGACCTCTCTGGAGTCCAAATGACAACATCCGGTTTATCCCACCGACTGATGCGAATTTTGAGAATTTCCTGCACCATAAGGGGAGGGAAGAACTGAGACAAAACATCCATCTTCCATGAAGACGTAGCAAGATCAATCAACTCTGCCATAGAAGAGAATGGAGCAGGAACCAGGGGTGGTAGAAGTTTGTGTGGAAGCATAAAGACCCAATGATCGTTCCAAATATGCATGGATATGCCATTCCCAATCAAGGATCGTACTCCCTGACATAACAAAGCCTCAGCAGACCAAATACTACGCCAACCTCATGAAGGATTGGATCCCAAAGAAGCATCCAGAAACGACGAAGAAGGAAAATACTTAGCCTTATAAAGCTGATACACCAGCCCCTACTTTTGAACCTGAAAATGCCAAGCATGCTTCGCTAAAAGAGCTAAGTTGAAAGCCTCTATATTGCGAAACCCAAGACCACCTGAAATCTTACTCCGGCAAAGGAGATCCCAATGAAGCCAATGAATTGCCCGGGTTTTATCCTTAGCACACCACCGAAAAGAACGAATATGCTTCATCAAATCTTGACACAATGTAATGGGAAGCTTAAAAGAGGACATTACATACGTAGGTAAAGCACTCAACACTTAATCAACACTTCCTTAAAAGAGGACATTAAGAGGACATTCCTTAATCAACACTTCCTTCCCACCCGTGAACATAGACTTCACCTTCCAAAAAGATAACCGGTCCTGGATTTTAGTCAGTAGAAACTGAAACACATCCCGCTTAAAGCGTCCCAAAATGGCCGGCACCCCAAGATAATGACTATGTAAACCTTATGTCCGCAATCCCAAGGATCGACTAATAGAACGACGCAGTGACCAAGGGGCATTATGCGAGAAAAAACAGATGATTTACTAAAATTCACTTATTGCCCAGAGGCCCGTTCATAATCTGCCAAAATGCGTTTCAGAACAAAAACTTCCTCTAGAACTACAGCACAAAACACAATAGAATCATCAGCAAAAAAAAAATATAAAAAAAAAAAAAGAAAAAAAAAATAGAGAAACAGACGGAGCACCCCGACAAATATGAATACCAGATAACAACCGAGCTTGCTGGGCTCGCAAAAGAGCAAGAGAAAGAGTTTCAACACAAATAATAAATAAATATGGTGAGAGAGGATCGCCTTGACGCAATCCCCTAGACTGTTTGAAAAAACCCACTGAACTCCCATTAATTTTTAAAGAGTAAAAACCGTGGAAATGCAGGCTGTGATCATTTGAATCTAATAAGCGTTCAAGCCCAGCCGGGACATCATGTGAAATAAGAATTCCCACTTAATCTGATCATAAGCTTTACTCATATCAAGTTTCAATGCTAACCAAGCCTTGCGCCCCTCGCGCTTATTTTTTAAATAGTGTAAAATTTCATGAGTAATTAAAATATTATCGGTAATATGACAAACTGTAAGAAATGCACTTTGGGAGGTACTGATAAGGGAACCAATTATCCCTTTTAATCAGTTCGTCATAATTTTCGCAACAATTCGATAAGACACATTACACAAAGAAATTGGTTTGTAGTGACTAACCTGCGTCGGAGAGGAAATGTTAGGAATTAAAACTATATTTATATGATCAAAATTGGATAACAAATTCCCCGTAGCAAAAAAACTAGATACAGCCCCAACAATATCC